TTTTTCACAGTGGGCTTCATTTCAATGAAGAATTTTATGTTATACTGAACTCTTATAGAATCTCTTACATCAAAATTCTCCCTGAAGGTAGTGATTGGGAAAAAACTGGACTACCTCAAAAGCAAGGTAATCCTAATGACAATCAGGACAGGACTCCATCTGAAAACAGATTACTCTGACCTTAGGTAAGCAGTGAAGAAAATCAAATCAGTGAAGGACAAGAGAAACTGGGGATAACTGAAAAAAAAACAAAAAACCAAAAAAACAATGTAGTACTCCAGCAAAAGAGGCCTGTGGATAAAAGTAATTCATAGAATAACATTTTGATAAGTTTTCTATCATGTCTCAATTAAAAAAAAAAAAAAAAAAAAAATCTTGCCTTTTATAATGTTGCTAAACTGCCACATGAACTGGGGGTTATTGACATATTGCCTAACCTTGGAGTAAATGACGTGACATCTGTATCTACAAGAACATTGTTAATACAGAACCATCAACAATGAAGTTATATCAGTTTTAGTAGCACACATTCCCCAAACTCTAATTTATGAACATCATCGTGAAGAGAATTCAGTCAGAAAAAGGATGATAATTATGTGAGTTCTGGCAAATCCAGAGTGCTTTTAGCACTAAATACTTAAAGAATATTTCATATAAACATAATGCAGTCAACTTTAAAACAGACAGAGATTATCATCACCTACACAGTTCAGTGTCTGACACTAAAACAAATTACTAGTTGACTGGTGAGGAAGAAGTGGAGGAAGAAAAAGAAGAAGTAAAAGAAGAACAACAGCAGCAACAAAACCACTACCAATATTATCAGCAATAATAACAACAATAACTCTCCTTCTTCCCACGAGTAACTATTTTCTGGATCCAGTTCTTTTCTCCTGATCCTGTCTATTGTTTCAGTGTCACTGGTAGTACAGTACAGACTTTCAAAAATTCTTGCTCTTTCAGAGATGAATATCACACAAAATGTCAGGCATAATACTAATTTTTAAGGATATCCGAATAGGGATATTTGTCTGAAATGTTCATAGAAATATAGCAAAAAAAGGTAAAAGTAGTACTGAAGACCATGACAGCTAAGATTTGGGATACAATATTTTAAACATCTGTATCAGTAGCTCAGTGAAAATAATTTTCTCGTCCTCTTGAGAAACTTTATTCCTTTGAATTAGTTGGCAATGTCGAGTCATGACACTTTAGCCTCTCTTTTCCACATGGGAATTTCTGCAAGAATGATCATCCTTTACAGATTTTAATCAAATTGAAATTTTTAAGAGAAAGATCATTCTTGTGATCTTGTGTTACATGTTAAATGCAGGACATTCAGAAAAGTATGGGAAGAACAAATAGGTTTAGTAAAATAAATATCAGAATATGTACAGTAGGGAGAGAAAAGGGTTGTAATGGATGACACCTTGCAAATCCCTTGCTTGCTCTCATTAAAATACCTTTCTCCTATATGGTTATCAGATAAGAATGCAATTCACAATCAGTGTCTCGAAGAACATTCTTCTAGTACCTTCAGCTTTAATTATTTCAGTACTCTAGATCTTTCCATAATTTTATTGCCTAAATTATAGGTATCTGAAACTCACCCTTCAGAACAGCATTAAAACATTAAAATGAACAGTAAAATATTCATTGTCTATTACTAGACTTTGTCAGTGTTTTTTGGGCCAAGTTACTGCCTGATTCTGACCAATGGAATGGGGGCACTCATGGACCCACATCTAGGGTGAGAAAAAAGGGAGTAAAGGTAAAAGGTAAAGAGATGAATCTAGAAACAAAACAATGGCAACAAGCTAAGGGGGAAAACTAACTTACTAAATATGATCGCGGAATGTGAAGTGACTCAATATACAATGTAACTGGAATTGAAGATAATAAATCATATAAAATAAGAAAGAGCGTCAAAAACTGAAGACCTTACTTTAATGCTGAAGGTGAGATGGCTAGGGAGCTCATCACAGAGATGAGCATTAAAGAAGGGACAATCTTGTGACTTGTGAGCAGTTCTATCTTTGCCTCTAAATGTAAAATGGAAATGGAACAGGGAAGTCTTCTGGGAGATGTAGTTCTTCTGAGAACCACTGTCTCGTTCCAATTTATAGGAGGGAGAGGAGGTTCTTTGATATCTGTATACCTGGCATGAGATTAAGAAGCAATGGTTCAAAAGTTGGTCCGACCAGTTTATTACAAATCTTAATGAGGGAGA